TAGCCGCAGAAGTAGTAGTAATCGATTTAGTAGTAGCAGTAGTAATAATAGAAGTAGTAGTAGTAGCAGTAGTAATAATAGAAGTAGTAGTAGTAGCAGTAGTAATAATAGAAGTAGTAGTAGCGATACAATATAGTAATAGTAATATAAGCATTATCTTTACAGTTAACCTCATATTGTTTTGTTATTAAATTTGCATGGCTATTATTACTAATTTTACTATATTTTATCCTAGCATTTAATAATGATATTGATTTCTTCTAGAGTGATTTGACTACCTCTGACATCATTAAAGAAAACGTGATGCTCTAATTACAGCAGACACTTATCTATACCGTAAAAAATATAACACGATGTCACTATGACTCAACAAAATATTCCAGTGAAAACAAACGTTCATTCTAGTCTTGTAATATTAATTATCATTTCTCTCTTGCATCAGATAAGATAAGACGAGAGAAAGGGACAAAAAAAGAGAGACAAAAATGAAGCTGGCAAGTGGTCATGAAGCCGCCATCTTGGAAGGAGAAGAACGGGAAGAAATGAATAAACACTGGGAAGGTTATGGCAAAGGATTAGTTCGCCTTACCCCCGGTAGATGGCTCTTACCAGCGCCTTTCCTTAACTTTGCCGACAAGTATTACAGTTTCAAGGTAAGAGTTTCTACTAATTATTATGAAGTACCTTTATGAATGAGCTATGATATTGATAATAGTGGTAATTGTAATAATGACGGTAATAATAACAACGACGATGCTAATACTATTACTACTACCAGCAGTTATAATAATAATAACAAAAATATTGATACTAATGATATAACGTAATGATAACAGTAATAATAAAGATAATGCTACTTATAATGATAATGAAAATTGAAAAGCCAATAATGATAATGATAATTACAAAGCCCATAATGATAATGATAATTGCAAATCTAATAATGATAATAATTACAAATACAATAATGATAACGATAATTACAAAGCCCATAATGCTAATAATCTTGCTTCCCCCCATTGCAACCTCGCCTTCCCCGCCCACCTCGCCTTCCCCGCCCTCTCGTCGTCCGCCCAGTTCAAGCCAAGTGACGTGGTGGTGATGACGTACTCGAAGAGCGGCACGACGTGGATGCAGGAGATCGTGTGGACGATGAGGAACAACCCGGAGCTGAACCATCCCATGACCAACACCCACATCTTCGCCCGCTCGCCCTTCCTCGAGTGAGTCGTCTGTCTGTCTATTTGTGTCTCTGTCTGTCTGTCTGTCTATCTGTCTGTCTGTCTGTCTATCTGTCTGTCTGCTTATCGTCTATCTATTGTCTGTTTCTCTATTCTATCTCTGCTTATCCTATTCTGTCTGACACTTAATCTGTCTATCTGTCTGTCTGCTTATCCTTTTTTCTCTTATTCTCATCCTCTGTCTATCTATCGGCACTTTTTCCTTGGTCTTTTCGTTCTGTCTATCCGCCTATCTGTCTATCTGTCTGCTTATCCTTTTGTGTATCTATCTAGTCCATCCGCCTCTCTATCTGATCTGTCTGTCTGCTTATCCTTTTTTCTCTTATTCTCATCCTCTATCCATCGGCACTTTTTCCTTGATCAACACCCACGTCTTTGACCGTTCCCTGTTCATCGAGTGCGTCCTCTGCTGGTGTGTCTATCCGTGTCTCTGTCTATCTGCTATCTCTGTCTATCAGCTCTTAATCTCTCCCTCTATCTATCCATCGGTACTTTTTCCTTGACCAGCACCCACATCATCATCTGTCTATCTGTCTATTTACCAGCCTATTATTTATTATCAATCTCTCATCGCTATATCAATCGGCATTTTTTCTTGAACGGCACCCACAAGTTGCAAGTTGTCCTTTCATGTATCTTTCTCTCTGTCTGTCTGTCTATTCATCCATTCATCTATGTATCTATTTATTTTCCTTCTGGGTATCTATTTGCACTTTTTCCTTGGCTTACACGCACATTTTCGCCAGCTCCGTTCCATTGCTACAAGTGCGAATATTAAATGTTTTTATCTGTCTATATGTCTTTCTGTATTTCCAATTACCTGCCTATCCATTATCCACTCTCTCTCTCTCTCTCTCTCTCTCTCTCTCTCTCCTCTCTCTCTCTCTCTCCTCTCTCTCTCTCTCTCTCTCTCTCTCCTCTCTCTTCTCTCTCTCTCTCTATCCCCATTTATCTCCAACTTCACTTCACCCGTCAATTTACCCACTAACCTCCATACTCACTTCTCTCCCCCTCCGTTCTCTCACCTTGCCAGATTCGACATGATCACAGCCAGCAGCAATACACCGCCCCCCTTGGACCACCCGCTGGTGCAGGCCTTCTTCAAGATGTGTCCTGGGAAGAACCCTCTAGACGGCGCGCAACTGCAGATGACGGAGGTGTTGCCGGAACCACGTACCATTAAGAGCCATCTGCCTTTCAGTCTCCTGACGCCGGGGCTCCTCGACACGGCCAAAGTCAGTCCTTGTTGCGCCTCTGTT